TTATTCGCGAGCTAAGTCGTCGCCCACTATGCCCTGTATAATGGCACGAACAGTCGCGACATGACACTTTATAAACGACGCCAGACTGTTCACCTACCTCCGGTGAGTCTTTTATTTGCGTGACCCTTGACAAATTCGAAGATTTGAGTAATTTTTCCGTGCTGGAGGTGGGACATTAAACTATTTCCTGCTCTATTTTGTAGGTGGATTAAACTCACAACACCAAAAAAGGTACTCCAAGGCCGTTGAAAAGCTTCAACAGAAGCGGACTGTTCTCGTTAAGAAGCAGCAGGCCCTTAAGACTCGGTAAGTTGGTAGACTTACCTTAATTTTGCCTTAACTAAAGTCTCCTCGCTCCATGAGATATATTTTACCCCCGTGACAAAACCGGCATTTTTCTCTTTCGGCAACCTTTGTTTGCACTTTTATGAAATATACTTCATCTGAATGCGGAAGGCGGTTGATTGCGTCTAAATGTTTTCTTTTTTTGCTTACGAAATTGCATTTGAATTTTTAGAATACTTTTCGCTGGATGCGTTAGTCTACCTGCAGAAGAGTAAGCTCACCCTGCCGCTAACATCCGGGTCTGCGGACTGTGACTTTTCTAACAAGCCCTTTTTAACCAGTGGTGTCTTAACTGCAACTTAGTACAAATTTGAGTTCTTCCTGTGGTACAGTTTCAAGTCTTTGTGTAGGGGGTTCTATCACTAATTTAAAGCACAATTCCATTTTTGGAGTTATTATTGGCTCGTGTAATTAAAGTAATCTAAGAAAAGGATTAAATGCCTAGATTCTGGATCTCACACCTCCATAGGCAATTCAGATAGCCTTACCGAGAAAATAGTCGTTAACTAATTGAATGTCTATGCTCATTCCGTTTTAATTCTGTGGATATAAGTAAAGTTACGCTTTAGCGCCTTGTTTACCTATCCTCTCTCTCTCTGGAAAGTTATCGAACGTCTTCTAATGAACCAATAGAAAACTGACGTCTTTCTACACAGACTTCCTCTTCAGTTGCCGTAGATGCTATGAAATCTTGCTTATGGTGCAAAGCAGTTGGTTTTTTTAAACATGCTCATGCCGTGTTATGCCACTAATGGTCTCTGAACAGCGGTGGCCCTTAGCGAATAGTCCCCGATCACAGTACTGCGGAACAGATGAGTTTCGTTAGCCGTCGGGTGAACGTTCGTCAGTGAGTGTCAAGATCCCTCGACCTAAACTGGCAAGACAGCGAGCTCGAAGCTCAATGGTTAATGCGTTGGACTC